TATTTTAATGGACTTTGAGCTTGAATACTGTTCGTTATCTCCATATTTCATTCTTTTATATTTTAAAATGGGTCCTCCCATAGTTGTCTCATCGCTGAATTAAGGATGGCGATTTTAAATTCATGAATTTAAGAAGATGACGATGCTAGCACATTAATTAAAATTGACAGTGATTGTAGCCCTCTTGTTCTTGGGTAGACCCCTTTGTTACTATGTAAAACTGATATTATACTCTAGTCAAATTCCTATACCTATAGGACAATAATTTTTCACTAATTTAAATTTGCACTACATACTGGGACGTTTCCCTGATAGTTTAACTGTTTGTAACAGAATTCTTGATATTTTCATGCCATACAATGTTTATAACATTTGTAAAACGATGACCCTCTATTTCTGCCGTAGGTAATGATTTGGAGGCCATGATTTTAATACTTATCTTTGTTTCATATAAGTTTAACAATTTGTAGCTTTGCTCTTTAGAAGACTTTTAGAGATTTCTTTTTATATATCCTTACGTGAAATCTGTTGCCCGTATCAGCTCTTGACCCATCGTTACAAATGTTTAATCCTCTTCACCAAAGAGTGCTTCAGGGAAAGTTTGCTTGAAATTAGATCTTTGGTTCTGGAAAAGCAGTTGATTATGCAAAACTTTTGGTTTCCCTGCCTGCATAGCAGTGTTGTTTGTCAAGTCATGGAAACATTTGCAAAATGCCTTAGATGGAACCAGCTGTGATAGATCGCAAGAAAAAATTCTCAGACATAATCATAATGAATTACACTTACTGATCAACTCATCTCCATCCTAAGTCCGAACCCTGGCATCAAGAAACATGCATTTCAAAATTAATATACATCTCGAGAGCTCAAGCTCTTCATCATTATTTGTGGTTTGCTGGTTAGCTGTTCAGGAACAAAGAAGACTTTCGGTAAGTGATATATGTTCAATATATATCAAGCAACTTATTCTGCCCAGCGGCCTAAACCCTATATCAAGGAATCATCTATTTCAGAATTTGAGTAACAGCTTGTCGCTTTTATTTATGCAAACTAATTTTCCTGTTTCATTTTCAGGCCGTTTAGGATCATGAAACAGGCGGACGTAGATTTAATTAAAAAGATTAAATCAATTTAATATTCTTGTCTTACTAACGGTGATCTGAAACTCTAAATTTCCAATACCACTCTGCTGATGCAACATGTTTGTTTTGTATTGCTTGACTTCTACTCTCATTTCAGTGCAATAGACATGAAGAAGTGATAGATTGGCATTCGTAAACTACGTTTACAACTGTCAAATATAGTTTTACAGATGAAAATTATAGTTAATCGATTAACCTAGTTTATCAACTGTAAAAGTATACTTATCTAATTTTGTGAATATGGAATGTAATACGTAGGGCACACCAAATTCACAAAAATGAAGTAAACATAGTTTCACAGTTGATTAACTAGGTTTATCGACTATAATTTATAATAGTTAACGGACTGTAAAATATAGTTAACGACGTCATGTACATCTCTAAACCATACCCAAGGCTACGTTTCTTAACTGTACACTATACACACTGAAAACAATCAAATGCGATTTCAAAACATAGTTTATATGATAAATACGGTTTTCACTATTGTTAACAACTCTAAACTATAGTTAACGAATGTTATTTATAGTTAACGGTTGTAAACTATAGTTTACACCCATGTACATGTATATTTAAGGCACCGAATTCACAAAATTCTGATAAACATAGTTTTACATTTATCCCTGTCGTCTTCCCAACCTTGTGCGTTGATCAGAGAAAGATGACTGAGTATTGCTGGTATTAAAAGATTGCTGAAATCTTGACTTATAAATTTAAAATTATATCAAGAAAAGAAATTACCTCAGATTTTATTATGGAACTTATGACAATTAGGCACATTTAGTATTGCCTCTTGCGATTGTTTCCGCGAGATTTTGACTTGAAAACCATCTTTAACTGTTGACAGTTGTGTATAGATTCATCAACTTTATTCTATAATTCTTTATTATAGTTTACTAGTGTGAAATACAGTTGATGACAATAAACTATGATTGAAAAAAAACGTGAATAATAGTTTGTTTGTTTTTTTCGTTCAAACTATAGTTTTCGATCATTAGGTATAGTTTATAATTAATACTGTTAATATTGTTTATGAGTATTAATGACAATTAACAATATAGTTTACGACAGAAATCTATAATTAAAGAATGTAAAACATAGTTTATCTATTAAATATAGTTCCATGATTTGTGAAACTATGCTAGACAACTCAGAACTATGGTTAACGAATGACAGTTATAGTTAACAAATGAAAATCTATATGTTTACATATGTTTACATTATTTTTATTTTTGTAAATTTGGCGTAACATAGATTTCAGCTTAAGGCCTTCCATGATACCTAGACAAGGGGTAAAGGAGATTATTTTCAACGATATCTATTATGTATTTTCAAGATATGATAAAGTAAGTCCATCACTGAAGCAAGCCCTAATCTGAAGAGCCAGGAATTAACAATATGGAGTAAATTATAGGGACCTTTTACTATAATTTATGAAACTTTTACTGTATGCAATTTAATCATGCATGTATGCAATATTAAATAGAGTAGGTGACCCTCTACTCCAGTATTGTATCAAAAATTCATTCACTCTTATTTGATTTGGCATTCTTGTGGTTTCTAAGTAAAAACTTCCAAAAATGATTGAACTATTCAACCCAGAAACTTACCAAAAAGAAACAATTATTATGACTACTGATTTTCAGAAACTAATAATCTCAGCGATAGCAACATTTCATTAAACTTCATTCTCTTTGTGGAATTCTTTCTCATGAAATTTTATATTACTTGTTTTCTAAAATGGAAAATCAAAATTGATTTTTCAAGGACGCAAATCAGAGAGCAATGACCTTTTAGCAAAGTCATTCTATAGTTATTGTCATCGCTTGCTCGCTCAAATTTTGTTTATATTGAATAATGTGATTTATTGCAGATTGAAAATGTTCCCTCTTTGACTTCAGGGTATTCTAGACTACGTTAGGTGACGCGACAACCTGTTTCCAAAGGTGTTAAGCCTTTTCACAGTTCTAAATATCTTTCATTTCTGTAGACTTTTCATGTCTTTTTCCTACTTAAAAATTTAATATCTATATAAAGACATGTTCCTTTTTTTCTAAAATTACTTATTGTGGCGTATCGGATATTAGTGAGATCTTAAAGTCAATGTCTATGTAGTACATGTATATGGAAACAATGCAAAATCCATAGGCGCACCGTCCATGCGATAAGCGGGGTATTTGGGTATCACAAGAGTTGATCATCAAAAATGTCAATACTTCCATTCTTAATAAGCTACTACCATTTGAACATTTTGGTTCTAAATACCTTCAGGCAAATACCAGCAGCATCTAGAACATTTTAGTCTCTTTCGGGTATTTTCCGGTTTGCACACATGTTTTGGTTTCATAGCGCGGTGCTTCAAGACGTTCAATGACGTTGCTATTCTTGACTTTGTTTTTAGGCATTGATTTTCTATAATTAGCGATAAAACAGTCATGACCCCTCCAATTTAATTCAAATGATGTTTCATGATTATTGTAGCAGCAGGTAAATTATCATAAATCTTTCTGCACTACAACAGTGCCCCCCCCCCCCCCCAATGTCTATGTAATGTAAATGTGTGAAAAAGTGACATGCTCCGTGAAGCATGTTTTATCTATATGGAAATGCTGTAAATTTTATAATTATCATCGGAGAACACCAAATCTTTGCATGTTTGTTGGAAAATGTATAGTTTTTGTCTTATAGAAATTTTTTGGTTTCATGCAAATAGCGCGCTCACAATAGAACTTGTCTGTGAACTTTTCTAACAACCCTCGTATGTTTAAGTACCAACATGAAACGTGTCTGTTCATTTGTTATGGATGGATAAGTTTTTGAAAATTAATTTTCATTTATTTGAAAGAAAATATATTCTTGATGAAAAGACTCGAAATAAAAGGTACCCTATTAGTTTTATTGTGCTATATTTGCCCCTGAGGACGGATGATGAAATACAAAAAAAAGGATCCTTGGATTGGTATATATTCTTATATCTATTTTGCTTGAAAATGATGGGAATAATAATACATTTCTAAAGAAAGTGTAAACTTTCTATGATGTTCAAAATTCTACCTTTCAACAGCCATCCTATTAATATATACAATTTTTTGTCACTTTAAATCCCACAAAATTTGAAACTTTGAAAAATTAAAGTCTACACAGTTAAACTTCTTCATTTTACTTATATAAACATGACTTAAGTTGTTATTTTCAAGATTTTTGATAAAAGTTTGTTTGTATCATCTGTCCTTAAAACAGAAAGAAATATATCATTTTATTTATTTGAAATGAAAAATATCTTATCTTTATACATGTTATATGTGCAAGATTTATTTTAGGTTGACCGCACATTGTGATATTATCCAACTAACTATCTAAACACCGTTCTCTAGAAGCGACTTAATAACATCCGACATTCATGACTTCTTCACCAGGGATAGTCTTATCGTATTGTCAAAACTTCAGTCCATAGTGCGTGAGAAATGATCTACATTACAGAGAATTATTAATCGTACGACTCTAAGGAAACAGTTTATATGTATTTCAGTCATTTTTCAATATGCAAAATTAAAACTCGTAAAGTCATTTATTATTTTCAGTTGCTTTGAAAGCCCTTTGGTAATTGTTTGGCAATTTAATTTACCCAATATTTTTTAGACAAAGTCAAAAAGTTTGTCTATAATCTAGAAGAGCACGAACTACCAAATCGCAATCTTCAACATATTCAAAGAAAATTTTTTAAAAAAAACTATTTTCCCACGGGATACTAAAGAACGTTTTATTCTGAGTAGTATTTAAGAATGCAGTTACTTAAGAAGATAATAAAGATCTCTGAGATCACTGATAAAGATTCTAACATATCACAACGTAGGGCTTGTTATTGTACTGTAGACCCTTTAATAACTAGTGATGTGTACAGGTATGAGGAAACAAAATAAATCTCTGTTATGTTCGTCCAAAACCTCCCACTTCACATTAAGCTGAATCTGAAATAAAATAAAATTGAGAAAAAAGAATCAAATTTCTTCACACCATCAAATATTGTTTTTATACGAAGAAGAAATTCGTTGATTTCATGTAATTTATTTTATATTGCTTGTCTATTAAAATTAAAGCATATTTCATAGATTAATTTCAAATTGAGCTTTTCCAAAATACGATTTTTGACACTTTGCAAAAAGTACAGCAACAGTTTGTAGAATCTGTTGTCATTTTTAAAGAGATATATACAATATGCAATGAAAAATCCATACCAGGGGATACAATGGCGACACATGTAGGGTGTTTGTGTATACAACTTCCTGTCCAGCTACAATAGGTCCGGACAAGGATCCTGCAGGAACACCATATGGGACCGGAAGTCCGAGTATAATACCATGGACAGAAGATTTAAATGTGGCTGAGTCAACATCTGTGTTGAAATACACACTTCATTAACATTCTAATAATAATTGAATTATAATTCAGATTTTAATTAATTTTTGTCCATTTTATATCAATCTGTGTTATGATATCTTTCGTATCCATTATCATTGATTTCAACGTTTATGATTACATTGAGCCATTTGTCTATTTTAGACATTGAAAATTAATATGAAGATGAAATAAAGGATACAACTTTAAAAAAAACCTTGCTTTCATTTCGTAAGGATTTTTTAAAGAGAAATCTTCAAAATTGTTAAGATTATAATGCAACGTAAGGCAGTCTACGGGAAGCAAAACCAGAAGAAGAGCTAAATTATGAATGATCCCCATGATGTGTGATTTGCAAATAAAATTTCTCAATCTTTTAGCAAGAGGCAAAAAAAAAAAGAGTTGGCTAAACGTATGTAACGTATGACAAAACAACGTACGACCTATATATACATTAAATACTTTGGTTATTATGGAACACGTGAAATGAAACAAAATCACGTCTTCCTTCAATTAGTGATTATTAAATTGATTCGATACAGATCATTCTGAAGTGTCAATGACTAAAGATATGTGAAATAAAAAAAAAAGACTGATTGAAAGTGGTCAGTCGAAGTCACTTCACACAAGAAACATACATTTAATTTAAGATCAAGAGCCTTCAACATATCGACGGTTGCAAAAAAGCTTCCCATGTATTTAAGTGGACTTCAAATTAAGGAACGGTGATGGAAAATGTTATAAAAGTATGTCAAAATCACGTTTATATCCCATGATCAAGACGATAATAATACATCATTATACTTTCGAATAAGATCATATTTTTCAAAATTACGGTTGAAACATATGTTGAACATTTGTCAATTTTTCATGGGTCTTCTTAATTATATATATTTATTATCCATCATACTTACACCAAAGTCAATTTCTTCATAAATATTCCTCCTTTCCATTGTTCGCTTTCTTTTTTAAACTCATACCGAACATTTGTTACATTTTAAGTGATATCTTTACATGACACACAAAACCCATTGCAGTTATTAGATTTCAAAAATAATTTTTCAATGGTTAATAATGATCTTGTCTAGAGACTTTGACATAGTCCCAAACTCATCGTCTGACAATTGGTCTAGGTAATGGACAAGGAATAAAGTTTGACTTACTTGGAGTGAAAGTTGCTCTGAGTGTGATATTTTTTCCATGCGGAAGTGCACACGGCTCCATTGGACATGGATCTACGTCTATAGAGCTTAGTTGACCATGTGTACCATGTGATCCTTAAAACAATATTTATCTTAGTTTACTTTATTTTGTTATTTTGTAAGTGATGAGAACATAACAGGTAACGACTTTCTTAGAATAAGGAAAGTAAAAAACCTGATTTTTCAATCTACAGGTCTTTAGGTATCATTATTACTAGATATATATATGCAAACATGAAACTTTTGTTCATGTTTACTAAAAATTACTCAAACTTTCTAATCTTCATTTTTAATGTCATACTCACATTTCTTTTTTTTTCTTGCTGATAATTAAAAGTCTCTTTCTATCATCTTTACCAGATGTTTGTGTATTCAGTTACATTTTGACAAGAAATATCATTAATAGTATACTGATTAAATAAAACTGTAGACGATTATTTAAAAATAAGTGATGTAATGATACTCACTACAAGGTGTGAATTTAACAGAGATAGCATTTATTGTAGAGAGAGAAAACAGTGAAATAATGAAGAATTTGATCATGGTTCCGAGTTTCCCTGTTCTATCACAGAATGTGTAGATTTTTGACCTGGTCGATGACCTTTATACGTGTCTCTAACATTTGGACTGGCCTTCTTCAGTTAGTGATCAGCAATGTTGTTGCCTTCTTTATATGAATTGAAGGCTCACTGATGGCATGTTAAGACCGGAATTCGCACTCTTTTCACTATGAAATATTATTCGGCTTGGATGTGAAATTTTTTATTAATAAATAATGAGACAAATAATAATGATCAATGATCTTTCTTACCTAAATGGTTGTACAATGGTTCCGACCCTTCTTATCAGAGAACCTTTTAAATACGTAGACTTTGGAACATTTGTGACGTTATTAATTGTCCTACCATCGGAATTAAAGCATTGTTTACGTGAATATGAAGAGAAAAGAGCCATTTGTTACTAGTTAACTCATTCATTTGTATATATGGCAACGGAGGCAATTTTGAAAATTATGAATGTTGAGTGCACTACCAAAAATATTGATTACTAGTTTTGTAAAGTTTTAAAGAGTTTCTTTAGATTGTCCAAGGCATGTCTGAGAACACTCCCAGACAAAACTACTTTATAATCACATATTTTCGTAGGGTCAACTTTTCGAGGTTTAAGGAAAACTATGGTTTTGGGGATTTGATTTCGTGGATGAAGAATTGTTGAGAAGCTATGTATATGACATTTTGCATTTCGGTGTGGACATGAATTCGTGGGTCGCTTCATACCTCGAAAACAACGAAAATCAACCCCCCACGAAAATTAGTGATTTCACAGTATAGGTGAAGTATTGCACAAATGGGCATACGACAATTTTTCTTAAATTCTTGGTTCTTTCTTTCCATCCTTTTCCATATTTTTTGCATAAAGCACCTTTACAGGACGCAATGAACAACCCTTAAGTTCAAAGTTTCAAAAAATGGCTGCAAAGTAACTAAATAAATTGAAATTAAAGAATTATCACTATTTGCCATTTTCTATGCAAGTGAGTTAAGGCTAGGTAAAAAGAATTCTATGCAAATAAACTAATTAAAATGCCTAGGGACTATACCTATTACATGTATACGGAGAAAGTTAAAACTTATTGTCTAATACATACTTGGTATCCACGACATGATATAGCCAGTACACATTATGACGTCATGTTATGACGTCATTGTTATTTACTACACAAGATTTTAAAGGACATCGGTAAAAAAGCTTCGGCGCAAGAGCATGCTCAATTTTATTTAACTGAAACAAAGTACATTTAGAAGCAAAATATTCCAAGGATTGCTGGCAATGCTGCACAAACATCAACAGCTCAGTTGTTTAATTACTGTCTGTGAAGTTTTAAGTTGAAACGGGCTAAGAATGTTCAGTTCGGTATAAATTTCCTCAAATTCTAATCAAATGAGAAATTGCCAAGGATTTGTGCAGCAGTTTTATTAATCTATATAGTATTCTTCCTAGCATCAAAGAATTTTTATATAAAATTAAATAGGATAATCCCTTGCGCCGAAGCTGTTTCATTAATGTGTTTCACTACCTCCAGTAGGTAAGAAAAATGACGTCATAATGTGTACTGGCTATAACATATTGTGGGTACTAAGTATGTGTAAGAAAATAAATCAAAACTTTCTCTGAATTATAAATATACCTTTTATGCGTATTTTTATTAGATCATTTGCATAGAATCGCCTATACCTAACCTTAATTCACATGCATATGGCAACCATGTCCATTTTGAACTTTTAAAGGGTGATTGCACACCTACAGCTCCTTATTATATTTTCTGTATAATTTCATTAAGATTATACAAGCTATTTCCGAGAACCTTGAAAGACAAAACTACTAGAAATTTGTCGCTTACTTCCAAAATCTTTTCTAATTTTTTTCGTTCTTACCCCCCTATCATTTTCCTTTTTTTTTTTTTTTTTGCAGAAAGTTCTTTGGTGGGACGCAAAGTACACTCCTAGAGAGTATCAAAGAGACATGATTGGAAGCTACTGAGAAAAATGAAATGTAAAATAAAAACCACTTTTTTCCAGCTTCCATAAGAACGGTGACAATTTTGAAAAATTTGAATATCAAGACTGACTCAACTACCTTGAGTAAATGATTGGACAACGTTATGGGTTGAACAATAGCAATATATCGCTCCGATTTCGATGGAGGTGACATAATTTTGCATAGGCAGAAAGAATTTTGATAAGTTGATCCTTCTCATATGGTATTTTAACTCCTACATCAATTTTGATTTTTTTTTAAAGTTGATATATAAACAATGCAAATCTGTGAACAGGGCAAAAACACTGATCCCTTAAAATTCCAGGATGGGATCAGGTCCCTATGAGGAGTAAGCAGCCCCTGTCGACCAGTCAGACCCGTAGTGGGCCCTATGTATCGACCAGGTAGACAGAATATTCCTTAATCAAATTTAGCATAAAACAATGGTCTCGCAATAGGTATGAGATACGTCAGTCCAAAATACTTCAGAGTATCAGAGTACTTGTGTGTAGAGTACAATGTAGTAGTGCCTTTTAGCAAAGTCTTTATGTTGATGACAAATCACAATATATGAAAATATCCGAGTTCCAATTTTATTAAATAAACAGTTGTCTATAATATTAACACGCAGAGTTTTTAATTTATCCTGAGTAATGGATATGTAAAAATGTTTGTTTGTTAACGTTCCTTTGAGAATTTTTCATTCATATTGAGACGCCACCACTTGCTGATGAAGGACTGCTATTTAGACCTATAATTGGCACTTACAGCCTCTGAGCAGAGAGGGATCTTTTTGAGCCAGCATCTCCTGGGACGGACTCTGAACCTCGTTTTATACAGTTTCATCCGAAAGTCTCCACGCCTCGCAGTGGGATTCTAAAAGCAACGTAAGGATTAACTCCTCACTCCGCGATTCTAGAGTAAATGCTCTTAACACTGCGCCACGCTATCGACTAAGAAATTTAAGCTTACTTGTATAGTCGTTTAACGACGCACTGTACTTAAGCATTGTCCAAGACATATATCTACTTTTAGAAAAGAAACCAAACAATGGTGATATATATGCAAAAAGTTACGTTTTTATTCGATGTTTTAGTCTTATCGAATTACGATAACGAATTATCGTAAATTGATGAAATATGGAGATAACGAACAGTATTCAAGCCCAAAATCCATTAAAACAATACAAATCGGGAGCAGAGCAATCACGGACCTCCAAAAACATCTGAGATGAGATCAGGTACCATGGAGGAGTGAGCATCCCCTGCCAATCGGTGACACCCGTCAAGTGCTCCTTGTCATGATCGGGAAAAAACAGGAAAATCCGTAGACAATTCAGTATGTAAATCATGGCCTAACAATTAGTGTTAAAATGTCAACCAGCATTTGACTTATTGTATCTTGTTAATATAAAATTCAGATCGAGTACTTGTGTGTACAATCAGAATTTTGTAAATGACCAATGACAATGTAAGTAGATTTATGAGTTCCTTTTTTTATTGAAAAAGCAGCTGCTTATGACGACAAATAGCCTGGATTTTAATTTATCCCGGGGGTGGTTGTATAAAGTGTTGAAAAGTCGTACGTTTTGATGATTTGATTTTGGTAATATTTTGTGATTTCAAATTGTCTAAAAGTTCCTTGGAGTTATCCACATGTAATTTACACTTCTCCAATATACTGTTGTACAGTGCTCATGAAGTTTCTCCTTTACTGCTGTAAATATTTTATTGAGGAGTAAAGAGAGAGGCTTGGTAGAACATATTCTGAAACCCTCTGTATTTTTGTTTGTAAGGATTTTTATGGAATTTTGGAATCCAGTATAGGTATGGTAAGTCAAATTTATTTATATAAAAAAATTGGGAAAAAAATCTATTTTCTTTTGCTTTGATATATGCAATACAGATACTAGGTAGACAAATCCCTCCAACTGGGTGCTGAAAAGTAGGGTCATATAAAAGGTGGTAGTCCTGCAGAGATAGACGTATCCTAGCATTGTCTTTATGTTTATTTCTTCAATTATAATATAAATTATAAAATATTTTGAAATTACAAATTTTTGAAGGAACTCTTTAAGCAAAAATCGGAAAAGATAGAGGTTTTGTGTACAAAGTTTTGCTGCTGGCTTCCTTTAATTTAAGATTATATAGCAGTAGTGACATTCATTTAGATCAACTCTCCTATTATGCATGTACCGTGTCAATTTTTTACGCAGAATTTATGTTAAAACTAACTCTAGATATAATATCTTTTTTATTATGGAAGCATACAATATCACAAAGTGGCTTTAGTATCTATTTTATTTAACAAAAATGACATCAGTAACACTTTAAAACATATACAACATACATAAAAGATTAATTGTCATTGACATCAGCTGATTAGTTAATATCAGTTAACTAGTAATATGTACTGGCACAAGGAAACAGAAGAGATCATGATTATGTTCGTCTAGGACTTCCCATTTTACATTCAGCCGGATCTGAAAATTAAAAAAAGTATGTTCTGAAACTTGAAATTATTACAGAAGCCACATCAATGTAAAAAATATGAGTAATAGTTGTGAAGGGGGCAAGTTAAAGAAATATTTTCTAGTTTCCTGATTATATTTCTCTATCCTTTTTACCTTAGGATACAGTGGCGACACATGTAAGGTGTTAGTGTAGACAACTTCCTGTCCAGCTACAAGAGTTCCGGACAAAGATCCTGTAGGAACGCCATAAGGGACCGGAAGTCCGAGAATAATACCATGGACGGATGATTTAAATGTTGAAGAACTTACACCTGTTGTAATATATGTATGAAATATATATTGAGAAAAAACATATGTGGTTAAAGACCAACTTTTTTGAAATCGTAAACTGCTTTTTCAGTAGAATTAGTGACTCGCAACTTTTTCTTTATCTTGTCAGTGGTCATCTACACACTTTCATTGTCAAGAACCATTTTGATTCCACATACAAGTACTCTGACAATATTTTTGTAGTCTTTGGAGACCAGGTTTCCCAACAGTCTGTGAATTCCCACGGTTATTAATCCTGCCCAATTATAAACAAACTTGTTTTTATATTCTTATGAAGCAGTTTTTTTTCAAAACACTTCTAAATTTAAAAGGATTATTGCCTTCAGTTTGACAAATAAACATATATCGATGACGTTCTATCAATTAACAATTTTTTTTTTTCATTCTTAGGCTGATTCAGGACATCACGGAGTCTGACACATCATTTTCCTACTTGCTAGAGAATATGCTAGAGAAGGACATCGGTGGCAAAATGATAACGAACAGTAATCGATCAAATTGCAAACTAACAACTTAACTGTATTATCAACTGTTGACTTTAATTTTTTCTATCGTCACCTTCCCTTATTTATGTAGCAACTAGATGAAATCCCGCGCAAGCGCGGGAAATTGAATTTATACCACTACCGACAGAAAATATATTGTAGTTTCTACTGACAGCCTACAGGCTTATAGCAGGAAGAAATACTTTGTTCAAAATCCCACAGGAAGTAGATGTACGTCTCCACCCCACCCCCTTTTTTGTAAAAGCTTGAAAAATAACGATTTCATTAATTGACGTTTATTTTGAAACATGCAATACTATGTTATGGATATTGTACTTCAGATGCTCTTATTTCATTTTCGTCGAGGATTAAACCAGCGAAATAAGCAAATATGCACATTTTACTGATAAATTGTTTTTTTTTTTTTTTTTTTGGGGGGGGGGGGGGGTAAAAATTCACAGGTACTTGGGTCTTGGTTTATAAATCTGTATGTACCTTATTGATATGTAAAAAAAAATGTGCTTTACTTTTTTTTTTTACATATCAATAAGGTACATACATATTTATAAACCAAGACCCAAATACCTGAGGCTGTGTTAAAAAAAAAGTTTTTAACGCTCTATGAATAGGCCGAATATTTGATACAAAAGACTGTATTCAGAAAAAAAAATGAAATGTATTGATTAAAGCACAAAATTTTATAGCTTTAATTGTATTTGAACAATACCTTATCTATTAATTTTCTCTTTTCATGTAAGCAAGTTTATTACGAAGTACAAATTGTACACCGGGTTCGTTGCCGCGATGCTCTCGATTACCGATAAATTTATTAGGAAAACCTACTTCATATATGTAATAGTTTTTCGATAGATAAATACAGTATATTCACAACTTATAGTGTTATCAATGATTTACCATTATTTCAATGACCATTCAAACAAAAGCTTTTTTATGTTCCTGCAGCTATAATAGCTTCTTTTTTTTTTCTTTTTAACATCGGGCTCGATGCTATATGATGTTCTAGAAGCTTCCGTCAATATTAAGATCGGTGAATGACGAAAATAATTTGCACATTTCCCTTTTTAATCGGTTATCACAACATATTTCTTTTATATCATTTAATCCAAGTTTTGATTGAATGATTCAGTGATGACGTTTTATGAAATAAATAAACGATTGCTTGTTGTCAGTTTCATTAAAAATTGCCAGTAACTTAGATCCGCCAACCGGAAACGCCACCGTACTCACGTTTTTCCTATTTTATGGCTGTTTGTAGAAAATGAAAGTAGACTTTTAATTTAATATACGATACTTACTATGGGAGTGAAATCTAAATATAGTTTACGGACATCATCTTGTATACAGTGTATTGTTAGAGGAGTAATTAAGAACTGTGGTGCACCCGTTTCGGAGTTTATTTGCAAAATTTATCAATATATAAGTATAAATATACTAATATAACCCGGCGATGGGGTTTAAGTTTTCCATTTTATTCGGCGTGATAGACGAATATTCGAATAAACAAAATGATGTACATTCAATAGAAAAAGGTGTGCAATAATAATACAATGGAAATATTATATTGTATTGTTTGTTTATTTATTGTTTAACGTTCCTCTCGAGAAATTTTCACTCATATACAGACGCCACCACTTGCCGGTGGAGAACTGCAAATTTTGACCTATACTCGGCGTTTAGGACTATTGAGCAGTGAGGGATTTTTATTGTGCCAGCACCTACTGCGACATGGAACCTTGGTTTATACAGTCTCTTTCGAAGGACCGGTCTCCTCGTCCCACAATGGGATTCGAACCCGCGACGTAAGGATCAACTCCTTACCCCACGACTCTAGAGCGAACGCTCTGACCACTGCGCCACGCTGGCGACAATACTATATTGTAAGGTTTGGGTAACTCCAAATTTCTTTTTTCTAAACATTTGCAACATTCATGCAGCAATTGCACATAATCAAAGTCTTTTACAACAAAAGGATGAAAAACAAGTGCAAAAATTCAGAGCTCACAAAAATTAGATTGATAGAAAAGTTTCAGACTTACTTGGAGTAAAAGTAGCTCGTAGTGTAATATCTTGGCCATGTGGAAGAGCACAAGGTTGCACGGGACATGGGTCTATGTCCACAGTGGTCAATTTACCGTGAACCCCTCCCGGGCCTGATCCTGGAAAAGAAAGTCAGAAGTCTAATTTCAGAGACTTTGAATACTGATGATAAAGGTCCTCCTCAAATATCTGTCATTACTTTCTTGAATGATTAGAAAATGTGTTGATAGTTTGGAAATAAAGAAAATGGGTATCATGCATCATGCATGTAATTGCCTTGACATTAGAAAATTTAACATTTACTTACTTTTCACGATAAATTTGGAAGTTTCACAATTTTGCTTTGTTATTGAATTTCTGGAAATTATTTGGAAAACAAATATTTTTAATGTTCTCATAAAATAAATTTTAAAATCACTTATATCGAATAAATCAAATTTTTATGCTTTGAGGGGAAAAAATGGTTCATGGAAATTAGGATTCGTGTTTTGAAAAGTATTGAGTCGAATTGATATTTATATGAAATTTTACATTTCAAAGTAGATTTCAATTCAAGGATTCCTTTACATGTATACCAAGAAAACAAGGGAAATAAAACAGGGCTGAAAATAAGTGATTTCACCGTACCATGTCTCAATTGATATATTAATTTTGGTATTGTCATTAAAAATTAAACTTTTACTTACTGCAGGTCGTGAAATTGACAGACACCGCGTTTACGGTTGTGAGAGCTAGCAACAAACACAGTAGAAATTTAATCATGGTTGGAAGTGATGTTGTTACTTTATCTTTCACTGGAAGATCAGTGTCCGTAAACCGTAATGATGTACCACTTAATATATACTTATCCTTGGTATTTTGGAGAGTCCATTGATAAGGGATACTAAGTAAGTCCTGTCTTTTCTTTTACAGAAAAATGGAGATGTTTTACATGACAACAGCGTTTGCTTAAAAATGAAAATCCTATCTGTCTTTATGGTGTGAAATGTATTTTTGTCAATTTTTGTTTCAAAAATCTAAATAATTGAACAAAAGATGTGGGATTATCATACCTAATTTCAGAATGGATTCGCCCAGACGGAATCAGACCACTTTTTCTTTGGATCATTCGATGCCTCTCTTGCTTTAAAACCAGCTTTTAATGATCACCTGATGGTTCTATAGTCCACAGACCCGTACAACCTAGATATCAAAGAAACACCTTGACCTCACGTGACCTCATTCCTTGGTTCTTCTGGATTGCAGTATCAGGGACGGAAGTTTGAAATAGAAATATTCTAATAATTACGTAATGTTAGATTCCATTAGCACAGCAAGGTATGCCTGAGAAATTTGAAAATTTCATGTCCATATTGCATTCTTGATTGCTTAACGTAATTAATAAATACTGAAAATCACTCATTTCAAATGCAGCTAAAGTAATGAGAACGTATTTTATCGATAAAGTACTAAGTACTAATATACAAAGTGAATACATACCCTTAGAAAATATTTTTCTTTTCTTCTAGTAAAGCATCCACAATTGTTATGCATTATTGTCTTTGTTGCACTTTTATTAAAGATGGTGTTTACCATAGTATATTCAATAATATTTATGCTTATATTTTTTTTTCAAAAATGACACGTATGCATTTGTTAATGAAATGACATTAATTTAGATTATTTATATTTGTAAGAGAGCTTGACCACAACATTTTTTTATGATTAATCTGTGAGAGGCTCAGGTTATTTGTGCATTTAAATAGATAAAGATACTGAGATATACCATTAATAGAAAGGTTAAATAGTAAAACATGGTAATTACCTTGAGTGATACAATATGATATCAGCATAGTTGCTTATCAGTCATTTATGATGTAGTTGTTTATTTTGTCAATATAGTTAATGAACAAAATTTCGTGTAATAAGGGAATGCCCCTGTAAACAGAAATAAATGTAACACTGTTTATTAGTTGGTGTTGTATCGTTAACATGGTTGATTAATTATATAATTATGCCATTAATAGATTCAACGTTATTTATAAAAACAACATTCTACAGTTAATACAACCCAATATTCAAAAGTGATTACTTGTCCTTAATATTCTAAATACTAATCTGCTTCTTAATTATAATGATTGAGATCTTTTTTTAAATTCTCAAATACGATGGAAGAAGATTGAAATCTAAACATAGGAAAATTGAACATTATAGCTAAAATCCTTAAAAAGAAAAGGAGGGGGTAAATACATTATTTATTTATGAACCATACACTTAGATCATTACATTTGTTTATCACCTGTCGTCACTATGGGCTCCCGCTAACTGAGTTTAGAATGAAATGTGCAGATAACGAACAGTTATATTAAATGACATTTCGATCGATTTAGAAAAGAAATGTAACGCTGAGTCAAGGGTTTTCAATCTTGTTTTTTCCCATAATTTATTTGGATAAATAATTAAAAACATATGTCTGATTTTAGTAGACACTCATTCAAAGATCAACTTTAGTGTATATATATTCCATCTATATTTTTGGATATCAAATACAGATAATGATTTTGCCATTAATTGCAGTTCATAGCGGCAATGAGGTCAAAGTGACAGATAAGATAGGAAAGTACATTGTGAAATATGTTTTTAAAAAGTGCCTAATTTATCACCTTACATTTCTTGATAATGATTTGTTCATTCATTCATAGACTTTAGAGCAACTATATTGACTCAAAATGAAAACTAAAGACAAATTATAAGGAGGCAATAGTGACATATTTCTGTCTTTTACAAGCAAGATAAATGTCAACGTGCAAGAAAAGGAAGTCAACATTACGATAATTATGTGTGCATGCAAGGAACAGGTAGTGCAAGTTTCTACTCTTTTAGAGAATCTAATTCTACAATGGATAAACTTATTAACTCCTGTGCGATTCATCATACATGCAAGATGCAACTTTTTATTTATTTATTTTTATTTATTTATTTATTTATATTTATTTATTTATTTTTATTTATTTATTTATTTCATTTTTGTTTTGTTTTGCTGAAATGTGACTTTTTTATGCCGACATGCAGCATATTTCTGTTATCACATGACTACTAATTTATGTCGACATGTGACTCAAAATGTCAAAATATATTTCAAATAGATCAATATTATACATGGATTATTCTGGACCGATGAAATATTAATTTATTATAGATGAAAATGATGTTCCGTGTACTTCCTTAATTATTATATATTACACATGTAGCCCCTTTCGCGAGGATTTTGCAAACTATAATGAACAGATTACTGAAGAATTTTCTGATATTTACTTCAACTTATTGAACTCAGAATTAATTTTCTTTTAAATATCAAAATAATACATACATGAAAAGTTTCACAAAGATACATAAAAATACACTTATCCATTACCACATTAATGTTTTTGTGAATGTGAAAGTACTCTTATGTACTTTTGGAGTTTTTTTAATGTTTAAATTACTGCGTCCCAAAACAGAAATGCAAATTCTCATTACAATTGAAGTTTTCTTCGACTAAGTCCTTGATAAATAAAAAGATAAATTATAAAAAAAAAAATCGTAAATTAATTAATAAACAAATACTAATTTTATCAATAAATGAATAATAACCAAATGAATAGATAAGTATATGTCCCAGTGTGTATGATAAAATCTCACTCAATCAAAATATCATATACAGTTATATGTATAAAACACAATAGATTTTTTTTTATTTATTTCATACAATCTTAAAAAGTGGCGAAAAAATTCCAGTAAATCAAATGATGCTACGAAGAACTGAAAGATCCAAAATAAAGCGGTGAAAGTGCATGTTTTGATTAGTATGAACATATCATAGGGTTATCTCGCTTCTTCTTCAGTACCATGTTTTTCAGTCAACATGTAAAGAGTGGTACTTTGAATATTTGATAAGCTAAAATAATCAAGGCTTACTAGAAACTCAGGTAGATTCTGATTCAAAATGTTTATGAATTTATCTAACATATAAAATGTGCATTATCTAATTTTGATTGTTATGATACATGTTATGCAATTATTTATTTCACAGAAATTGTAATCATTTTATTTATTATATTCCACATTCTTAAGTCAAATGTTTCTTGAAATACCTTTCTTTGCTCTGCTCCTATTTTGTATTGTTTAATGGACTTTTGAGCTTGAATACTGTTCGTTATCTCCATATATTTCATTGTATAACAGTCATTGTTATCATTATATCACTACGTATTACAAGGAAAGGAATTACCAAGTTAAAGGAACTTTCACCTATTTTACATATATATTTGTTCATAGTCCATTTAGACAATACAAATCGTGAGCAGAGCAAACACGGACCTCAAAAAACATCAGAGGAGGGATCAAGGGCCATGGAGGAGTGTGCATCCCCTGCCGACCGGTCACACCCACCGTGTGCTTCTTGTCATGATCGAGAAAACGGAAAAATCCGTGGACAGTTCATCGTGTAAGTAATGGCCTAACAATTAGTATGAAAAAAAGTCAGTGAGCATTTGACTCAGTGATAGGTTGTATTTGCTGACAAGGTCATTGTATCGACCATAGAACTTGCGAAATGATGACTTTAAACAAGACTGTTGATATCCTTGTTTCATCAACTTGTTTATAAATAGCTTGCCTCGTTCTGGAAATTGTTCATACGAAGAGCATGCTCTTGTGTATCGAATCAACTAGGAGACAAAAACCCCATATGAGGTGTAAAGGGATTATTGCTACATAAGTAAGTGAAGTTTATGATTAAAAAATTGAAGTCATCACGTTTATCATTAAGCTTTGTTGTTAGGTAACAATTAAAGTCTTTTTCTAGTAAAAAAAAAATCCAAATATGAAACAGATGTGTCAGAATCTGTGGTATCTTTTATTTCAAACTCACTGGGTTATATCGAATCGACATATGAATGGAAGTAACTATAGTTAATTGATAATATGTCGTCGATATATCTAAATGTCGAGTTAAAGGCCAAGTGTTTTTCCCCACGTAGAAGTTTTTGAATAAATTCTGCTTCATATGAATACAAAAATATGTCTTATAACGAGCGCAGGGGTGGGGTGGGGTGGGGTGGGGGTGGGGGGGGGGGCAATTTGTACCCATGGGAATCCCAGCAGATTGTTGAAAGACCTTATCTCCAAAAAACTACATAGATATTGTCAATCAGAAACTCGAGCATCTTTTTAATATCAACTTCAGAGTACTTGTGTGTACAATCAGAATGCTTTTTAATAATGACGAGTAAATACATTTACGAGTTCCATTTTTTTATTGAAAAAAAAAACCAACTGTCTATGATGTCAAAAAGCCTGGAATGTACAGACAAAAGGAAGGAGCACAAAGTGTGCACTGTCATTGAAAATTTTGCATGTCAATGTACATTTTAAATGTACAAAGTTCAATAACAGTCGGAATATGTACAGCCTGACATCCCTAACAAAAAAATACTATAGTTAACTGTAGTTTACTATAGTTAACTAAAGTTAACTATAGTGATAACTTTGACACTATGAAAACTTTGATTTACTATATTGATAACTTTGACACTTTGATTTACTATAGTGATAACTTTGACACTTTGATTTACTATAGTGATAACTTTGACACTTTGATTTACTAAAGTGATAACTATGAAAACTTTGATTTACTATAGTGATCACTATGAAAACTTTGATTTACTATGGTGAAAACTTTGATTTACTATAGTGATCACTTTGAAAACTTTGATTTACTATAGTGATAACTATGACACTAT